ATAACCTTTCCATGATACCATGATTCAGTGGCCTTCCACGGCCCTCCCAATCCAATCGTGCTGTGACTCCGTGATTCCATGTCCTTCCAGGACCATCTCAACCCAACGATGCAGAATGGTTGAGGGTCCTGGAAGACCACAGAACCTTGGGATCACACAGTGGTGAGGTGGAAGGTCCTAGAACCCTGGGCTCACTGAATGGTTGGGTTGGGAGGGTCCTGGAAGAGCAGAGAACCACGGGATCTCAGAATGGTGGGTTTGGAAACCATCCTATGGTTCTGTGGCCCTTCAAGACCCTCCCAAGCCAACCATTCCATGACAGCACGATTCTGTGGTCTCCCATGACCCGGGGGGCGGGGCCCAGGATCCCAGCCCAGCCCTGCAGCCTCCCAGGCGGCGTTAATCGCTTTTAGGGCTCCCAGCACAGCAGCTCCCGCCGCAGTAAGGGGCCGTTCAGGCCGTGCCCACCTGCCACGCCGCCCTCCGCTCCGCGATGCTGCGCCGCAGGGCTGCGATCCGCTCCCTGCCCTCCAGCACCGCCGCCGCGGCCGCGCGGTTCTCCTTCTGGCTGTGGCTCAGCTCCCGGCGCAGGAAGCAGCGCTGCTTCAGCAGGAACGGCACCACTGTGCTGCGGGCGTCCGCCTCCGGGATGCCGCTGGGCCGCCTGCGGGGTCACGGCACTGCGTGGCCACACCGCCCACCCGGCGCCCCGGCACCCCCTGCGCCGCCCCCATCGCCCCCACAACTCACAGCCCCACAACCCATCAGTCCCCCCACACCCATCCATCTCCCACCATCTCCCTCACAGCCCCACAACCCATCAGTCCTCCCCTCCCCCTCTGCACTGCCCCCATCGCCCCCCACCTCCCCCACACCTCACAGCCCCACAACCCATCCAGTCCCCCCCATCACCCCCTCTGCACTGCCATCACCCACCCACCTCCCCCACACCCACCCCCTTCTCCCAGCACTGTGCTGCAGGGCTTTAAAGGTCCCCCACCCCACTGCCCCACTGAGGGACTCCGAAAAGTCCAGACTCACTGAGACCCACAGCTCAGAGCCACGCAGCGCGTCCCAGCAAAGTGCAGGGGCTGGGAGAGACCCCCGGGGTGCCCTCGGACCCCTGAGCAGCCCCACACAGCAGGGCTGCGTTGTGGGGGGGGGGCTCAGCTCTCTCTGGAGGAGACCCCCCCCTCTCTGGGCTGTCTTAGGGCAGCGTGCCCCTCACAGCACTGAAGTTGGTCCCATTCACAACAATTTGTGCAGAACTTCCTGTGCTGCAGTTCCCGGCTGTTTCCCCTCATCCTGTCTCCACACAGCGCTGAGAACAGCCTGGCCTCGCCCCCCACACCTCAATACTTACAGACCTGGGTCAGCTCCCCTCTCAGTCTCCTTTTCTCAAGGCTAAACAGACCCAGGTCGCTCAGCCTTCCTCCATAGGGGCAATGCTCCAGGTCCTTCCCCATCCTTATTGCCCCCCGCTGGACCCTTCCCAAGAGATCCCCGTCTTTTTTGTCCTGGGGAGCCCAGCCCTGCACACAGCGCTCCAGAAGAGGCAGAGTAGAGGGGAGGACCACCTCCCTCGCCCTGCTGCCCACGCTCTTTTCAATGCACCCCAAAATGCCGCTGGCCTTTTTGGCCACCAGGGCGCCCTGCTGGCTCACAGCCGACCCGTCGCCCACCAGGACCCCCAGGTCCCCGCCTGCAGAGCTCCTCTCCAGCAGCTCATCCCCCAACCTGTACCACTGCACGCAGTTATTCCTCCCCAGATGCAAGACCCTACACTTGCTCTTGTTCAGCCCCACCTGGTTTCCTTCCGCCCAGCCCTCAGCCGGCCCAGGTCCCGCTGGATGGCAGCACAGCCTTCAGGCTGGCAGCCGATCCTCCCCACTTCGTACCATCAGCAAACTTGCTGAGGGTGGCCGCTACCCCCTCATCGAGGGCATTGCTGAAGGTGTTGAACAAGACCGGACCCCCATCAGGACCCCCAGCTCCTTCCCCACAGAGCCCCTGCAGCCGCTCGCCCCCCCCGCCCCATTCCCCGCCCCATTCCCCGCCCCATTCCCTGCCCCATTCCCTGCCCCATCCCCTCTACCAGGCCGGCTCCTCGCAGCCCCTCGACTCCTCCACGATGGCATCCAGCGCCCCAAGCAGCTCCTCCAGGTTCCCCTCCTTCTTCACCTCCTGGATCTCCTCCTGAAGGACAAACGCACACGTGGGGCTGCAAACCCAAACGGCCCCACAGAGCCCCTCCCTAAACGCCCACTGACCCCCCCACACACCCCCTCCTCACGACCTCCCCTCCCCCTGGCCCCCCCACACCGACAGACCCT